TTCCAGGCATGGAGAGGAACATCGAGCAGGATGAGGCCAGGTCCTCCGCTGACCTCCGGATACGCAAGTCCCAGGTGAGCTCCTGGCCCTGGGACCTGCTGCTGGGACTGTCCCCACCCCAGGTCCCCGGGGGATAGAGGTGTGGCCTGTCCTGGGTGTCCCTGGGGCTCCCACCTTTGTCCCTTGTCCTTCCCCCCAGGTCCCTGTCCCCTGGGGTTGGGACACAACATCCTGGGGTGTCCCCAGCCCGTGTCCCTGTCCCCTGGGGTTGGGACACAACATCCTGAGGTGTCCCCAGTCCATGTCCCTGTCCCCTGGGGTTGGGACACAACACCCCAGGGGGTCCCCAGCCCGCGTCACAACATCCCACGGTGTCCCCAGCCCGTGTCCCTGTCCCCTGGTGTTCGGACACAACATCCCAGGGTGTCCCCAGCCCGTGTCCCTGTCCCCAGCCCCTGTCCCTGTCCCCTGGGGTTGGGACACAACATCTCAGGGTGTCCCCAGCCCATGTCCCTGTCCCCTGGGGTTGGGACACAACATCCCAGGGTGTCCCGAGCCCGTGTCCCTGTCCCCTGGGGTTGGGACACAACATCCCACGGTGTCCCCAGCCCGTGTCCCTGTCCCCTGGTGTTCGGACACAACATCCCAGGGTGTCCCCAGCCCGTGTCCCTGTCTGCCCCGTGGTCCCCAGCCCGTGTCCCTGTCCCCTGGGGTTGGGACACAACATCCCAGGGTGTCCCCAGCCCGTGTCCCTGTCCCCAATCCATGTCCCTGTCCCCAGCCCGTGTCCCTGTCCCCAATCCATGTCCCTGCCCCCAGCCCGTGGCCCTGTCCCCAATCCATGTCCCTGTCCCCAGCCCATGTCCCTGTCCCCAGCCTGTGTCCCTGTCCCCAGCACTCCGTCCTGTCCCGCAAGTTCGTGGATGTGATGACCAAGTACAACGAGGCGCAGGTGGATTTCCGGGAGCGCAGCAAGGGCCGGATCCAGCGGCAGCTCGAGATCAGTGCGTGGCCCCGCCCCCTCCTCCCGGGCCCCGCCCCCT